AAAATTATACTTTCAGGTTATCACTCTGTACTGCACCCCCTCACCTTCAACTCTTTGGTGTGGCGGGTATCTTGTTTTCACCTTCCAGTTCTTCCACCCCAGCCTGTGTCATGAGGTCTGCGATGTTTTTCTCCAGATCATCAATGCGACTACTCATATCATCAAGTGGTGAAGTTAAAGGTGACACAAACCAACATCTCCCCATGTCTTATCCTTTTCATCCAAGCCCCTGATAACTATGGCCTTAAACACAACTGTCTTAAGGAAGTGGATTTTCCAGTTTCCTTACAGTCTGGTGGTTAAGAGTACAGGAGTCAGGGGCAAGGCAGCCCTAACCCTTACAAGCAGTAGGAACCCTGGTAAGTTCTTAAACTTTTCTAAACTTCAGTTACTTCCTTCGCTAGATAAAGATGATAACAGCATAACCTGTTCATAAGGTGGTAGTGAGGATGAAAGGAGAGACACACATAAAGTGCTCAACAGTCAATCATACCAGCCATTATAGTTGGTTGACTGCGAGTTCCTCCAGCCAGTGATCTGTCTAGCTCAGCTGTACCCCTAACCCTTAGCACAGTCCTTCTGACGAACACAGTATATCCAAGCTCAGTAAAAAGTTTAAGAGACTGGCTGAAGCTGGCCTGCAGACCACCCATATACCCCATCGCTACCCTGCAAATAGGATCCAAAGGCCCATGAGAGGCCAACTACAAATAAAAAGGATATTTCTTCCAATGATCTGGTCAGACATGGTCTGAAATTTATCTTGCATCTGTTGCAGAAGTGTCTGCACCTTAAAAACAAAACAAAACAAATTGCGCACTTGTCTTGAGACACCTTCATGGGATCAGGACCGCAGCACTGGTCCCGGTGTCAGGAACCTAGGATCCTGGGTTCCAGCCCCAAATCGGGCTCTTGGCACCAGTGCAGCCTTCAGCCAGGACTCTGCTCCTCGGAGTTTCAGTTTTGCCATCTGTCAAATTGGACAGCTGGGCGGGTGAGGCGCCCCGCAGTCTGGGCCCGCTGCGGTGCAAAACTCGCG